TTATGCCACCCAATGCAATGTGTATTTGTTTGTCGTTTTACAACTAAATTCCAATGAACCCGCAATGCGAAAACCATTTTGAATTACATATATCCGTTTACATGATTTGTTCAACACGTGTACTATGTACAATTAATCTGCATCGCCGATGAACACCTATAAAACGGTAAACGAACGGAGTGAACGCCCGCGTGCATCCTATTATTATTATAATTATATATGTATATTATAATATATAATAATAATATAAACAATATACCCTTGTATTTATTTTGTTTTTCGACATGCTTGTTCGGTATTCAACAGCCCGATAGCTATCGGCCGTAGCAGATTTTGTTTTATTCCTGTCGACACGCAAAACAACTTTTATAAATGTTTTATTGACAAATATTCGACGAGTGCAGTTCATGGCGTGTGTACAGACAGTGTACTGAGTATTTAGTATGTATAGTTCTTGTTCAATGTCGGTCAAAATATAATAGAACAAAAATAGTATCATAAAAACTAATATAAATCGTTGTGTCGAAAAAATGAACGTTAAGCGGCATCCGCTCCTAACAAAATATGTCATGACAATTTATTACGGTAACGGTTTGAGAAAAACGAATAGATGTTTTACATATACACAGAATTTCGGTGTAGTTTAAAAAGTGCACTTTTATAATGTTTTTAGCGGTGTAACAGAAAAAATGACCAAGGGACCCAATAAAAATGTACACAAATATAAATACCACTGTGTAAACAATAGTTTTTACACTTAGAAATATGGGCACTTGGAAATCGGCCTATATTTATCTTAGGCATGAACAATATTACGTTAATACATACAAACATTACTTTATCTTTTTGGCACTGGGAACGTTCGCAAGTTCACACTTCATATTGTTTATATATATATATATATATACTCAAGGACGACCATATCCTATACAATAATCTAATAAGAGGGTGACATAAGTAAAAGCCTTAGTCGGATTTTTGCAGAAAAACCACAAGGACAACCTAACTTCATTGCCAAAACTACCGGGTGTACAAGGTGCGCACGCAATGGCCCCGTAGTAATGTGACAAAAGGGAAGCTTTGAAAAAAAGTAACTTGGAGGTCTTTATGGGAAGTCCGAATTCAGCGATTCGGTTGGAGGCCTTAAGCGTTTTCTTGTTATACAAACCCCCAAAACTACATATACATATTTTTTACTATTGGGCAGTTGTAGTACCGACGCAAGATAACATTATCAAGCACCTCTCAATAAAGGCGTAACTACGTTACAGTGGGTGCACAAAATGCCTAGGCTGCCATAGTAGTTTACCAAAGACCATAGGCCCCGGTCAACTGACGAACAAATGTTTACAGAATATCAAAATATTTGTTTTATATATTTAGGATGCATTCCAAATGTTTTTCAAAAATTAACTATCTGTTTAAAAATCAATTTAGGTATAATGTTATCATATTTTTACGGTAGGATGGCAGACTAAATGATTTTTCATTATTTGAAACGGTTGTTATTGTTGCAGGCAATATGTGTTTGTGCGTGTATTGAGAAATTATAGATACTATATTTTAATATTTTAGGAAACAAATCTGTATGAAAAAATAACCATTCAGCCGGTAATTCCAAATGTAATTTGATGGAGTAATGCGGTTTGCGTATTCGAAATGTGCGAATAGGGTTTAACGCCAAGGACGTCCGATTTTGTCACACTTATGAACTCTAGATAATTTGTTAAAAATATTATAATCTTTGCCGTTGTAATATGCGTCGTGTATTATTTCTGAGAAACCCGCAGCTAATCTATGAACCGTAAAAAGATTTTTTCAAATAATAGGTAATATGTAAGTTTATATTATATTATATTCTACAACATTATGTTGGTTACAATATTTGTTCATACGCCGAATTAATTAAATGCGAACTATTTGAAGTTTGTGTTACGTCTATAATTAGTTGTCTTGAAATATTATACACTAAAACAATGTACTTTTTCTCTATAGGTCACGCGGAGTCGTATCTTTGAGATTTTGTTTATTCATAAACGACCCTATTTGATCACGACCAACCGTTCTTAGAACTGTCACTAGAAAAGGGTCTAAGCTCTAAAGTTAAATAAAATCTCGTCTTCGCTTCCGTAAACAAACTTGACGTCCTCGATAAATATATGAGAGATGCTCAACTGAATAATGTTATTACTATTAGAAAATTCCTTAAATATTTAAAATATTTTTTAAAGTATTTTTCGCTCAACGTTATAGCCAAAATTTAGAGAAATTTACTATTTTTAAACAAATACCGTGACTTTTCATTGTGCTAATATTTTTCCACAAATCATAAAGCGAACAAATTATACAAACTAAACGAGTCTGATATAAGCAATAAAATGACTGTTCTTGCCAGCTTAGCTTAAAAATTAACTACAGTTTAATAATAATAATATCGTAGGTTTAACTTTAGAATTAAATGTTAACCACCATAGTTTATACTATCACATTGTGAAAAACAATGTCATATTTTTAAATTTCGACATGACTAAAATTACATACATAAGTGACTTGTTTAATTTAATTTTTACATAAATCACTCTCTAGCTCATTGTATTTTGCTATCAAGAACAAAAACTAGTAGTTATGTACTGTTTTTCTATAACTTTATTTTTGTTAACTTTAACAATCGAGACGAATTTTCCAATCTGTCGGTTCGTTCTAGAGATTTTGTGGCTTCTTTAACATGCTTTTAGCTTTGTGTTTAAAATGAATTAAACGGTCAACACGCTCTGGCAAGGTCAATTACTATATTGGCACTAACGCGCTTTACATACCTTTAAGGTACCTATAATAGTATAATAATACTTATTATACTTTTACATATTTTTGTTTCTCGGTCAACAAATTTTATTTAATCTTACCTCATGGCATTAAAGCGACAATGACTCGCCAAATTATTGACTAGTAAACTGTGTTTTTTTAAGTTAATTAACGAGAATGACAATATTACAGTTGAATGTTTTTGTTTGCACTTATTATCAGTGCGATTAAGTAATAGTTACAAAACTGTTATTAAGTATAACCAAAACTAAGAGAATTGGACAGTTTTTCGATTATTTTTTTTTTGCAGTCGTTAAGTGTTTAAACAAACGATGAATTATTATACCATATAAATCGTGTAGTACCTAAAATTATAGGTAACTGTTGTCTGGTTGTAATTTATAAATTTCTTAATTGGATTTGAGAACATCTTAAAAATCTTCAAAAGAAAATATAATTAATGTCTTTTCGAGTAAACTTAACATTGAAGTTTATTAATCTAATTATACGGACTTTATTTTAATTGAAAACCACAATACATAATAATATATTATTTAAATTATGATTAATTATGATTAATTAAAAGGCATAGTTATTAATAAAACTAATCAGTAAGTTGAATAATTAATTTAATAATTTCTATTGATCACTGACATAAAATAATATTTGTGTGCTATAATAATAATAGTACTGAATAAAATGTGCATTTTATCCTCAAATATCATATTTTGTTATCTGTATGAACTGACTGACTAATTTATTAATAAATCTTACAAATTGTACCATTTTTAATTTTTATATCAGACCAATGTATTATGTTTTTTAACCATATTCCTTAACAGCGATAAAAAAACAAGAAATATAATTAAAATTTAATCCTAAACTGTGTATCTTTTGCATAACTCATTGTGTATAGTATATAATAAATAGTATAACAATTATAAAACGTGTTTAAAATAATAACACTTGTTATGATTGAATAATTATATACAATATATAATTGTCAATACAATAATTATGTGTGCTAACAAAATATTGTTTACTAACCAAACCTAACCTAATTATATTGATGTGCAGTGACTAAAAAAATGACTACACGGCCAAAATTATGATCGTTCATAGGAATCACACCTCAAAGCTTAAGGGTTGGAATTCATTTTTTTAGGTGCATATTACTATTTCTAAAACAAGCTATAAACGATTAAAAAATTGAATTAATCTTGTACGTAGACATTGGTGATAGTAATAAAACTGAAAAATAAAATTGACAAAAACGTTTCAGTTTTCACTGATATGCGACTGTCTTAAAAATATTCAATTAAAAGGGAGTGTTTTGTGAACATAAGTAATCTGACCGAATGACCTTTTCCAGTGCAACACGCTGTTTAAGTCGGTTTGACGTCACTGCAGATGCTGTAGTGGTTAAGTAATGACGTCACGTTGTGTCGGTCGATACCGTTTTACTTATGTACGTTACACTTAGGACGCAATATAAAATATGTATCGACTCTATTTACTGCATTGTTTCTTACCCTTGTACGGTTCTTAGAACACTGTAATAATATAGTGTGTGAGTGATTACTAATTTATATTTCCGTGGTTTGATTTGCCGCCATATTATTATTCCACCGTATTATATTGCATACGTTTTTTCAGTAAACGCGATGCCGGGATAACGCGAACTAGTTATCAAATAAAAACAATTTTACACATTTACCAAAAAAAAAAAAAATTAAAGTTGATTTTCGTGGGCAAAGTATAACTTAGTAATTTAATTTAATATAATTGATTCTAGAATATGATGGCGGAAGGAGTTTCTCTAATATGTTGTATAATTTAATTGGAGCTCTTTATCTAGTTTTTGGTTGACAAGTTTTTGATCAAACTTTAATTCAACGTTACCATTTAAAGCAAATAAGAGTCCAATTTTTAAATACTTCATTTTTTAATTCATTCATAAGTATAATTAAAGCAAAAAAAAAATAGCATAATACTATTTTCTGTAGGTATTGTTTTATTATTATCAAGAAGTCATTTTTTATTCTTTACTTTACTACCATAATTTAGGAATTAATAAATTATAAAAGGATTTAATATCTACCCGTCATAACGTAAGAACAATAAGTTACAAGTAAACAACTAAAATAAATAATTTTAAAAACAACAGCCGCGGTTTCGGGGATCCGGCCTCCTTATAAGCTATATAATGTATATAACCTATATATTTATTAAGATATTTTGTTTTATTTGCTTTTTTATTGTTTCATTTTCATTTGCGCAATCTTTGGCATTACTCGAACAGAAATTTAAATAATAAGTTAGGAAACAACAGAATAGCGTAATCAAACGATGGAGCATTCCTTATGGAGAAAAATCTTTCAACGGTAGCTTGACAGGTATAAGTATTGTGAAAATTTATAAATACTCAGGTGACCAACTTACCTGTTTATTTTTCCATGTTGTTACATTCAGTTGCTGTTGTTCTATATAGATACCGTACAAAGATTATCAGTATGTAGGATCTTGTTAGCTACAAGAGACACGCTGCTCGTCTTAGGAAACTTTTTGCAGGTTATGCCGTTGAATTTTTTTTAATCGCGCTATAGGATCGGTCCACCGACAAAGCATTGAGCCCTAAGCTAATGTACGTAAAATTGATGTATAAGGTTCGTATACGAGTTGTTGCTATTGCAGATTGCAAAGTAGCTCACACTAAATATTAATTTGGCGGATTTCTGCCGGACATATTAAAGTCGTTATTCCGCTGTGTTTGTTATTAAATAGTTATTATATTTATAGATATCTTAAACAAGATATTTAACTCGGGTCCTACGAACACCCGTAAAATATTACAATAAAATATAATGTACAATTATATTAAACACAAAGCATGCATTATGTCCCAGAATAACTTTTGCAGTCTTTTCTCACTCCAATATTTGTTTTAAGTCAAAATCATTGGGCATAGATGTATCAATACTATATAGCTCTATCTGAGCTCAGTATTTTTTTTGAAATTGTCTTTTTAATGGTAAAAATCGTGTATGATTGTAATTGAATTACTGATATTCTGGAACATATACCGTATATATTATAGTATTAAAAATTAGTGTATATACTTTTAACGTTCATGTAAGTTAGCTTTATGTTATTTCAACACCGGCTCTTCTCCGTATTCGGCTTCGTACAGTATTTGCAGTATCCTCATGCGGATTTCAGCGTTTTTGCGCGCCGTCAACTTGCGCAACGCGGCAACGCAGCTGAGCGCAAAGTGTTCGTCCGAATCCGGGTCATCCGCTGGCCTCTTGCGCTTGTCGCCGTGCTCAACGGGTTCCTGTGCTCCTAGTTGAGGCCCCATTCCGCCACCTCCACCATGGCTGTCGGCGAAACAATGGCACTGCACCACGCTGCCGATGGGTGGCGTCGTTAGCTCGGTCTCGCACATATCGGACGCTATGGATACCATGTCGGCGGCATGCGAATCCTGTCGGCCGTTGTCCATTGTCTCTTGGTCGTATTCGTTGCCGTCGAAACCGGCCATCTTGTACCTGCGTCAACAAAAGGTAAAGTTAATCGGCGGTCGGACCCTTAAGTCATAGAGAAGCCTCTCACTCTCTGGGCTCGATGTGCGGTATCAAAAACGCCATCTCGTGATAGTACATCCACGTTTTCTTCTTGCCCTTGGGCCCACACGTCCTTTGAAGCCGATGAAACCGCATGAAAGAATCCCGAAGCGTCCTCCAGCGTTTTTTCACTTCGGGCTCTGGAAAAAATAAACACAAATAATTAAACAAACACGTATAAAAGTTATCATTTGGTACGTTCGTCACGGCGCCGCACAAGTACCCGTTTGCTTCATGATGTCCGCTACTTCGCGCCAAGCGTCGTCTCTGGCTGACATCTTTTTGCACGCCTGCACGCTTCTATCGTACAACACGGGCCGCCGCTCGATTTCGCTGATTAACTGTTCTTCCATAGTGACAGTTGTGATAATATTCCACGGAGTCCGACCGCCAATGCGATATTTTATACGGTCCAAACGACGCGCTGTCCGTCCGTGCCGGATTTCTCTACTGCGACGGCGGCTGCTGCGGCGGCTGTGGCGACGGCGGCGGTCGTCCGCATCCGCTGCGGTCCGGCTGCGCGTGCACTGCGTCGTGTCGCAGCGACGGGATCGTTGCGTGCGCGACGAGCCGCTGCGCAACTATACCGACGACGGCACCGCCACTACCGGTACCGGACAGCTCGACGGGTGACCCGCGTGTCGCAACCGTGCCGACGACGTACCGACGGCAACGCGTACGCCAGTTCGGCGGCCGACAAAATCGATGGCACGACATCGAAGTCGCTGCCGCCGACGCGCCATCAACCGTGTCAGCGACAACAGCACGCATTGTCCACTTCTTCCCGCCATTTTGTGTTTGATACGCGTACGACGTTCCAGCGTCGCGTTTATTGATCGCCGGCGTAACTGTTTTATTGGTACTATTTTTTTGCACTAGGTCGTCGCCACAAAAAAAAAAAAATGTCAACTCCGAGGAGTCTTCCTAGCAAGAAGAAAATAAAGAACGTCAAAGAAAGAACGGCAGAGGCGGCCCTGGATGGAACGCGACGATAAAGAAGGACAACGCGTCCCATATAGTATACGAATTAAATAGAACTCATATTATGGCTTGTTGATAACTTAAAAAAAGAAGTTATTAGAAAAGACTTCAAAACAACCTTAAGATTGTATATTTTACCCAGTATATTGCGCGTAGATGGGTTTTGAGTGGATTAAGTGCAACTAAATTGTTCATGTGCCATTACTACATTTTTCAAATTAATAATTAAAAATATATTAAATTGAAATTAAATTATTTAACTAACTAATGTTAAAGCATTTTAACGTTAAATAAAAATGGTTATTTTCATGTCTAGTTTGCAGTTACACTAATAATTGCTGTAACTCCACTTCACCCTAGTTCTATTTACTTGGTGGTAGCCATATTCTAAAGTTTTTCCTTATTGGTTCAACTGGTACTTTGTAGAAGACACTCTTCGATGCAAATCTGTAGGTACTGGATAGGTTACTTAATAGAGGAAAATCACATCTAAGTATTTTATTTAGACATTTTAAAATTTAGTGACCACCTTTGATAACTTTACTGTAACCACAGCTTATTGTAATTTTTTTTTTAATTTATCGATATGCTTTAATATGATTACTTAACATAATACTGGAATTTATTATTTGAAAAAATGTATTTATTCAATTGTAATGGGGATGAATTATAGTTTTTTGATCTCACTCAATGGCAATATCAGTTTGCTCTGTTAAAGCGCAGTTCACATAATTTGATAATTCTATAGTTGAAAAAGCTTTTGATCTTTACCAATCGATTCTTTTTGGACTCAAACATAAAAGGCACGTAACAGAGATAATACAAAACTCGGGTCTCGGAGCAAATTGTTACCTAGTCAGCACCGACTATTAACGCAATAAGAGTATTATTTGTAATGCCATTTAACATTTACATAATATACAAGGTCGCATTTATTAGAAAAAATATCGAACTCGGATTTCCTGTCGCCATTTTTCTTAGAATGCTCACATAGATTTGCGATGAAGCATAACTAATATAATATAAATTGTAGTAAATTGTGACACAATTTATTTACACATTTTTATGTGAGTTGTCTTACTATTGAGTCTGCAACTCTCTTGTAATAAAGATTTTGAAATACATTTAGCCATTAGGTATATCCCACTTCATCCCCATAGGTTCAATTGACTGGACTTTTTTCTCCACTCTTCTCTGGCCTTTCTATAATGTACAACTGCTCTATCTATATGACAACTGAACTTGGTATATTATATTGAGTGTTTTCTGTATTAATGGAAACGAAGCAGTAAATCCGAACACAATAAGAAGACGCGTAAACCCTTTTTATATAAAAGCTAATATAACTATAGTGACCTGCATGGGGTCATGTAAACCGAGCTCACTTAAAACGGTTAAGAAATAACGTTACCGCCCGCGGACTTACCGCGATTACTCAACCAAAACGACTTATTTGTTTATTACTAGACGACATTTTAAGAGTTTCACCCTTAAAAATATTTGATTACACTCGTTTATAGTTTTGGCGTTATAGTATGAAAATGATATAAAAATCTCATCTAATAGTGTGGATTTTGTGATTTTAACGATTTTTAGCCGGCATTGTTAAAAATGTAACAGTTGTGTGCAAAATCGACGGCGTTTATTCAATAGTATAATTATTGACCAATTACATTTGTCAACGGGCATTTATAATAGTGTACCATGTTACGTACTCGACATAATGGTACCAGTTTAGAGTATTATATTTTATAATGTCAGTTTAACGCCCACGCTAACCGTGTGAGATTAGAGGATCGTAGTACAAACTAATTACCGTCATAAGATTTGTTGATAAAAAAAAAAAAACATACTACTACCGTTTAGAACAGTCTCTTTAATGCGTACCGAGTTGGCGGCATGTAATGAAGATAATAACATAATATTGTGTTGAATCCGCGCAAGGACAAGTTGTAAAGTGCAAAAGTAAACAGAAATCTTCGGGTGTGTCGTAAACGCGCGTGTTTAGCGCAAATTGATCCACGTACAAGCAGCCACTTGTTTACATATTTTTATGGCGTTTACTTTGTGACGGCGGCCTTGGAAGTTAAATTCGGTTTAAGTATGATTAATATCTAGCTTTTTTTATTTCTTTAATCCAATCGTCGCCGTCATGTACTTACTCGTGCGACCATAACCGTGTAAGGAAGGGGCCCTATGTGTCAACACTAGGTACGTAGGTACTATATTATAGTGGACCGCTTTGTTGTCTTAAGGCCTATTAAGTAGTCAACTGACTACAAGAGCAATTCTAGATCTAGATCGCACATGAAGAAAATGCTTGTAATCCCCTTTAGCAACAAGATGTTATCTATTGTGAGAATATTGTTTTAAATATGGCTCTTGCACGCTTGATCATGGCTAAAAACTGCACCCAAAATCATTGTAAACAGTTTCGTGACTCTTCTACCTGTTTGCATTATACAATGATCACTAGACCAAGATAAAACATAAAAAAACAAATATCAAAGCCGGTTAAATAGTTTAAACTAGATATATAAACGTTGTCAGCAAACACAATACTCGTGCCTATAATTATTCATCGACGATAAAGTCATAATCAAAAATCAAAGAAGCCCTTTAATTCCGTTTAAACCCGCCATACGGGTATGAGGTTACACGCAGAATCTTAATGTCGATTTATCGAAATGCGTCTAATTTGGGTGCCTTTGGGCGTTTGAAGTGACATAGTCTGCGACCATACTATGATTATCCTGTCCGTGCGACTTACAATAAAGCTTATACACTGTGTACATTTTTTAAATTCCTACCGGTCGACGGCTTTTAATTACTCTAGCTCAGCTTTTACCAACATAAATATTCCTAAAATTAAATAAAGAATTGTTCATTGCTGCGACCCCGTATAAAGAACCTCATGGTACTAAATACAGGAAAACGCCAGACAGCCTACGGTCGTATCATATTGTACAAGCAACAGTCAGCGGATCTTTTTGATTTTGTAAAAAAACAAAATGCCACCGTGGCCGCCGCCAAGGACGGATCTGTAATTAAGATTTCCAAAACAAAAGACTCTACGGTCCGCGCCCTGGAGGCTGCCGGTATCCCACTTGTTGTATTATTGTAGTAGATTTAATATTATAATATATACGTATATTTAGGCATACACAAAATACAACTTGGAGCATTGTTCTTACGTATACACGTAATATGTATATTGTATTCGCGGTCGTCAGTCTAGTTATTTTCCGGTCAAACTGGCGGTTGTTATTATTTGTATTTTGATTACTATTATTAATCGTGCGGAGAGGTCTAGTCTAGAGCGTCGCACTATACAGCTCTATATGCGTAATACACATATTACAATATTGTTAATAACGTGTCGCCCAATCAAGAGCAATCGCCCACGCGCCCACGCAACTCGTGTGCTCGCGAATATGCGAGTCCAAAACAGCGACAGTAGTGAATCGAAACCGACATGATGGAGCTCAACAGGTCTAAGAGGGAAGGTAAGCAAGGACTTTCTGTGTCGCACGCATGTCTGAGATAATTTTTTTTTTCATAAAGCTTTTGTATCATGTTTTGTATTACCACTATGCTTGACCGGTTATATTTGAATGAATACACTATATATTGCACTCATTTTTTACACTAGCGAAGCATATTTTTTATAACTGCCGTGGCTCGCGGTATATTATATCTACTTAATAATATGTTGTCCAAAACGACGCAAATCATCTTGGCCTTTGTAAATTATTTGTGGTCTTACGCAATATTGTCGATTTGTATTTTTTTATTTTGTAAGGACTAAGAACGATGGACAGCGAATTTTAATAAGTAATAATAATAAAAAAAAATACATAGTTTAAACGTTATAACTAGAGGTCCCTATTACACGTGTATTCGATTACACGCGAAACCCGTGTAATTAACATACACGTGTATTCAAAAAAATTTATTTTTGTTATTAATTTTAGTTTTACGTTTAATATCACGTCTATTTAATTACACGAACTCAAACACAAGTATAATTGTGTAAATCCGTTAACTTAAACTAAAATTTTTGACAAAATAATTTTTTTTAAATACACGTGTTATACACGTGTATGTTAATTACACGGGGTTCGTGTACACGTGTATTTAAATTACACGTTTAAAATCACAGGCACTAGTTATAACACAAAAACAAATTATTGTAAATTATGATACATTTTTTAAGAGGCTGCACGCAACCCGCTTGACTTAGACATTTTTGCGAACAGGGCCAAATAAATTGTAAGGCGCTATAATTCTAAAGTGAATCATTTGTACATTTCTTGGAGTTTTTCTAAATTTTGAAGAAGGGGTGAATTTTTAAAATGGTTAAACCTTTTTTGGGTACGATTTCTGATGTATAAACTCGTTGTATGAAGAAATCGGTTTAGCGGCTTAGAAGATAGTAGATACAATTTTTTTTTTAAAAAACCATTGTAAAAACAATACCTTCTCTGCTCTGC